TAGACCGGAAGCCTGCCTCATGATTAAGACGATGCAGGTGGGAGCGACGCAAGCTCCGAGTATGTTTGTCAAGGTTCTTCCCAGCCTCCGCGATCATCAAGCTGGGTGCGCAGCAGGACCTGGAGCGGCCCAACACAATCCTGATTACGATGGAGGCTCTGATCTTTCGGCCAAGCCGACGAGACGATGCATGTCCATCGGCGCTTGCAATTCCTGCTCTTGGAAGTCGCTCAAAAACGGCTTGGAGTCGGGGAGGCCGTCGCCCAGGCTGTCGCATTGCAGGGCTTCGAGTTTGGTGATGGCCATCGTGAGGGGGGCCATCAGCTTCGCCAGCTAGGTTGGAACGCTCTCAATCACCCGAGCAGAACACGGACAAGGGCGGGCTGCGATGTGGGACAGGGATGGCAGTCAGGAGTCACATCGGGATGGGGCCCTTGCCGCTCGTCCGTCCAGTGTCTTCGCAGCAACCGCATATGTGGAGCATGGCTAGAGATGTTCGTCCCAGGTGGCATAGCGGCGTTATCCCTCTACGTCGGTTACGACGAGCCCTTGGGCCTCGACAGCTTCCAGGTCCTCAATCAGCTCGGAGGGGCCTTTCGCGGCTAGCAGCTGCCCTTCGCGATAGGCGGGGACTTGAACGCGCCGCCGAAGTCGTTAGCGGGCACGGGGCGAGTGGACAAGATAGGGGGCGCCATCTTCCATGGGGTTGAGCCCGCGCGTCGTAAATATAAGACTTATTGGACCACCATAGTACACATCATCACTTTGAAATCGCTCGGCTCTTTGTTCGACGCCATCTCGCTGAACAAAGGCACGATGTCCCCGCGTTGGCCGGGCGCCCCCAGAGAGCTCAAGGCGGGGATCTTGGTTGGCCCCGACCGAGGCGCCCCTTCGAGAAATACCCCTAGGTCCGCTGCCACGCCCACCAGATTTGTCTGCTCGTCTTGCCCAGCTCGAGACGGTCGGCGACCAGGCGGCTCTGGGCAGGAGCTACGCTAGCGTTTGCCAGCTTCTCGAGGATGAGATGATCGGCGTTCACGGCATTGACAGAGCGACGCCTCCACGCATCGAGGAGCCGAAGGAATGAAGACCAAGATCTCCCCAGTTCCCCCGGTTAGGGGCGGGGCTTACTGTCTCGCTCCCCTGGCAAGGGCAGAGCTTGGAAACACTGGTCCATTCGCATCCAGGAACTGACCTATCTTGTCAGGAAGCAAGTGCCCTTGGACCGACCTGAGGCTAGATAAGTTTGTATTCGCGTCCCCCGTGGGTCAGCTGCACTTCACGCTGGCCCCACGCGGCAGGTCGCGGCCATGTCAGGGGACGACCTGGCGAGCCTCGATCTCGCCGGCCCTGCGCAGCTCTGCGCCGAGACCAAGCGCAACGCAGAGCGCCATGAGAAGCAGTTTCAGTCGGACCGAGACAAGGCCTGGCGATCCGGGGTTCAAAACGAGTCTGGATAACGGGGCTGGATTTGGCCCACAAGTTCATCAGATTTCCCGTGAGCCGGGTACCGTCGAACCCTAGAGGAGCGCCTCCCAAAGGGACCATGGCGCGCATCGACGACCTCGCGGACGAGTGGACGGACAGGACCTCCCAGATCCCATGAGCACCCACTCCAGCAAGAGCTCCGAGTTCGCAGAGGAGCCCATGGAGTTGGCCACGCCACATCAGATCCGAAAGTGCTCTAGCAGGTTCAAGGTCAGGGCGGCAGTAGGCGCGGGCAGGCCCCACCCCGGGGACTTCAGGGCCCTCGGCGACAGCTCTGGAGCGCGTCGCAGCCCCTTGGTTCTGGATGGGGTCTCTTGGAAGGCTTCCTGCGGCTCCGGCAACCATCGCCCTGGCCGTGATTCCCAAGGGCGAAATTGCGGCTTCCGACCGGTCGGCGCTTCGTCTGGGAGCGCTCGGCGTTCCCGCAAGTGCTCCAGGGCGCAAGCCGACAGATGAGAGCGGGCCCACGACAGGGCTCATCACATTGGAAGCAAGGGGCGGTCCTGTGAGAGAGCGGTTTGGGAGCAGGCCACATGGATGGACGCGCCTTTCTTGGGTCAGCCCGCTGCTTCTGCGCTGGTCGACATGACCTAATGCCACGAGCAGGTTGTCCATTTCAAGTTGGCCCCGGCGGCCATTGAGCACGGCCCCCCGCCCCATCGCCTGCGCTGCCGCCTCTGCGTGCACAGGGGCCAGATGGTCCTGCAAGTTGGCCGCGCATGCTCCGAGTTTGTCTCCTGCCTGCAGGCGACCCTCGCAGGCTGCGCGTTCGCTACCACGTTGCAAAAGCGCGGCCTTCTCGACCTGTTAGACCAGGTCGTGACGAGGCGTCCGTCGGCTCGATTTTACAACCTCGTCGACGACATCGCGATCGGAGCGATTGGGGGGGCTAGAGCGGCGGCGAGGACGGCGGCCGACGCGACGCACATGTTATGCGACATGCTCGAACGGCTCGGTTTCCTGATTTCCCCGCGAAAGGTTTAATCACGGCCACATCTCGGGACATTGACGCTCGAGTGAAAACACCGGGCCCACGCGGTGGAAATTCCAAGTTGCACAGACCACCCGGAACTTCGGAGTGGATTACACGGCAGGCCGACGACGAACTCCAGTCGCATCGGTGCGACGGGATAATTCGGGGCCCCGAGTTCGCCAGTTTAGAGGCTCGCGCACAGGATACTCCAGCATGTGCATGGTGGTCCAGACAGGAGGTCTTCCAGCAGCCCTGCACTGCACATCGGCCAGTGGCATGAACATGGCTAGCCTCCTGCAGCTGCGCTCGGCAAGCGCCGCGGGCGCTCGTGGGTCCCCCAGTTCCCCCCGAGGCCGACATGGGCCCTGCATTCCAGGCAATTCCCCTCCCACTGAATTTGCGGCAACAGGCGGTTAAGCAGAGATGGCTCCCCGAACATGTAACGAAAGCTTGTGCGAATGCGTGCCCTACTCTTGCCACCAGGTCTTGGGACAGGGTTCGGGGGCCAGCTGGAGCGGTTCGTGCTACTCTGGATCGTCTAGGTTGAAGTTCCACGAGCTGGGCCATTTGGAACGCATGCCGCGGTTTTCCCTGGACCTCCACTTCTTTCGGCAAGCGTGCCCTGGCAAAGCTGATTGAAAATTAATCACAGATGAGGCTCCTGGAACATGGGTCTTCGATCCCGAGGCTCCTGGACCGGACGGGTTGTTCCACCTCCGGGGGCCCATCGTGGACACTCCCAGAGGCCTCGGGAAAGCTGGGAGACGCGCTGTCGCCTTATTCCTGCGTAGTGTAGTTGCCGGAGGTCGCCCCACCCAAGACTATGTTGCATGATAGGCGCGCCATCTCGCCGCGGTGCAAGGTCTGCGGCCAATTTGACGGCACGCCGAAGTATCCTTTCCTTCAGTGCGACAGCTTTCGCTTTTTGAGGCGGGACTTGGACCTGGCGCAGTGCGCGGAGTTAGGTAAGCAGCTCGGCGCCAACGACTTCCTGTTGACCAGGGCGCTAGCTGCCGACCCAGGATACGACTGGCCGAAGTTTTCCACTGCTGAGGTTTGGGAGTGGGAGAGAAGACCTCGCGCGGGCCCCCTCGGGCCCAGGATCCACATCGACGGCGCGGGCTTCGACGGCGAGTCCACGCGCGCTGCTCGCGCGGCCTGGGCAGCGGCGCCCACGGGCGAGAGTAGCCAGGCGCAAGGAAGTGCGTTCGGGCCTCTCCCTCACCCGGTGCAGGAGGCTGGCGCTGGCGAGCTGCATGCTTTATGGCCCTGGAGTTCATTGGTCCGTCCCAGGAGACCCTGATCCAGTCGGACTGCCAGGTCGTTCTGGACGTCTGGGCCCGAGGGCCCGGCGCTGACCAATTGGACGTCGCGTTCTCGGACGTTCGAGGACAAGTCTGGGAGCGCGTTCGAGATTTAGGTCAAAACGCGATTCGCCTGCACAGAATTAAGAGCCACATTTCCTGGAGTAAGTGCTTAGAGACCTCTGAGGCCACCAATTGGGCCCGGTCTGGCAATGTACTTGCCGATGATTTTGCAAGTCGCGGAGCCCAGGAGTACCCTTGCAATCCTCGCCTCCGCGAACTTCAGAAACAAAGGAGTGTTGAAGTTGCCGGTTTCAGCGAATGTATATAGCCCGTTTCGGGGAAGTTTTCAGCAAGCTGAATTTCCCTGATGTTCAGAAGTGCACGGCCCCGCCCCGCCCCAAGCACGACCCATTACAGTTGGTGCGTGGGCGCAACAGGCATGCCTTCCAAAGGACGGGCAAGAACGGGAGGGGCAGCTATGGATGTGCAAAATGTGGTACCTCGAGCCTCGGGCTTTTCCGAATCTGCTGCGCGCGCCGTGCCTTTGCACAGGCATCCCGAGGTTTCCCTTACTCGCCCACTCCAGCCCCAAGCTCTGGATCAACGGTGGCCGAGTGATCTGGCGTAGAGAATGTACTGTTTTCGGTCCGGCGAAGCTGCGCCCGCTGGGGGGAGAGTGCCCCCGTGCGCCCCCCTTACAAGCCAGCGACACAGACGCTGAAGCAGCTCAAGGAGGGGAAGGACCCGTCCACCAAATCCGTTGTGGGGCCGGCCCCTTCCACCATCGGTCGGGGCCTTAGCGGTGAGTGATCGTTCGCCTGCTCGGCTCTGGCACTCGTTTTTGGCGTCGCTCGTCGTCGCCCGCCACCCTGCTCTTTCGCCTGGAGGGCTTCGGTTGCGCAAGGATCGACAGGAGGAGGCGGAGGAGGAGGCGGAGGTGGAGGCGGAGGTGGAGGCGGAAGCGGAGGCGGAGGAGGAGGAGGAGGAGGAGGAGGAGAAGGAAGAAGGGGAAAGGAGGAGGAGGAGGAGGAGGAGGAGGAGGAGGAGGAGGAGGGAAAAGGGGAAAGGAGGAGGAGGAGGAGAGAAGGAAGAGGAGGGGACGGCGGAGGAGGAGGAGGAGGAGGAGAAGAAGGAAGAGGAGGGGACGGCGGAGGAGGAGGAGGAGGAGGACAAATGCCTCGGGGAATGGACGTCCGAGCGACGGCAAGCCCTGCGGGGGAGCAGCGCGCCAG